TGCTCCATCTCCTGCAGGTCCAGTCAGCGTGTTGCAAGTAGCTCTGCTACCTATTTGCATTGGTAGCTGCAGAAGCCAGGCCTATCCTCATGGTTTCTGGTCTATGAGGTTTCCAAAGGGGCCTCTGGGATCTTAGACAGGTTCTCTGACAGTGGGTCAGGAACAGATTTTACATTGAAAATCAGCAGGGTGGAGGCTAAGGATGCTGGAGGTTATTTCTATCAGCAATATTGGTACGCTCCCCACAAAGTGATACAGCCCAAAGGTAAACCTCTCTGTGTGGGGCTGAGCAGCTGTCACAGGTCTGGAGAGCAGCACAGCAGATACTTCAGGCCTGACTGAGAGGTGGGTACTGGGGAAATCAGGGTGAGGGATTCTTGCTCTCTCCCCCTCCTGTTCTTCAGCCAAGGACTCGTCTTCTTCAGCAGGCTTGGGTGTCTGAAACAGCAGGAGAGAGAGGTGGTCTGTGCTCCTGGTAATTTTGATCAACTGACCAAGGTGACAGGGAGGCTCCATTGACAGCTCCTGTTCTTCCCTGGCTGCCACGATTGTCAAGAAATTTTGTCAGCATGACCACCAACCTTCTAAAATCCCTGGAAAGAGAAGTTGAACACATGAGGGAAGTTACCATTCTGCAATGTAATTCTCAAGACATAATACTGACTAATACTAGAAAGGAATTTTTTATCTTTATTAAATGTATTTGTACATTTTTTAGGTATACAATAGTTACATTCATCTTATACCTTTACATTACTTCTCTTGGTTCTTATTTTTCCCCATTCCCCAGCCCTCCCTACAGGCCCTCCACCCTTTCCTGTTTAAAAGACATTGTTTCCATGTTTTTCCTTTTCATATATTTTTTCTTTTCCCTTTTTCCTTTTTAATTTTGATTTTTGCCCAGTTAATTAACTTCCATACAGTATCCTCACTAGAATAACTAATAAAAACAAGCTTGAGGTTTAAGCATCTAAGAATCTCCTTGTAAATTCATAGTGGTCACAAGATTCTAACCCCATAAATCTCTGCTTTGCTTCTATACCTTTTTGTTGAATGAAAAGGGAGTTCTAAAAAATCCAAAACTGACCTTTGCAAATAAATGATAAAGAATCTGATGGAGAACTAGAAGTTTAGTTTATATATCTCAGAACTGGAGGTTTTTCTCTTTCACAAATTGAGAATTTTAAATATTGAATTGTTTCTTTCATGTATGGGAGAAAAGCAAGTATAAATATATTAAAAAGTGAAATAAAAGATAGCTAATAGGAAGTGAGGAGATGGATATTTTACAAATAGTAAGAGGATCTGGAAATGCAGGGAAGGAGATGTATGAAGATTTATGATGTATTATGTACTTGTACCAGCTCTCTAGATGAATATAATCACTACAAAGAACAAACATACTGATAAAAAGAAAACCTTCAACAATCTATTTTCACTTTTAGAGTTTATCCTAAATACTAAGTGGCATTGTGTTGCTATAAGTAAATAAGCACTTAAGTATGCATTATTTTCATATGACATCATCATTACCTAAAAATGAATCCCATATTTTTGGTGTAATCATACAGAAATGTTACACTTTAAGTAGATCTCAATTAAAACAGTCCTCCCATGTTGTAATATTTTCTCCCATACCCTGTCACTGTGTAATTTCTTTCTTGGAGCCAGGTGTTTATGGATGGAGCCACCTGAAGAATCCTTGTGGGAAAATAAAGCAGTCCCCTTTAAATTCCAGCCTTAAATTCAGCTGTTTTGTCCCATCCATGCAAACATTTCTAATGCATGATGTCGAAAGCATCAGAATCACAGCCCTGAATGACAAAGCCAGGAATAAATCTCCTGACTGTTGTTGACCTGTGGTGTCCCATGGATGCAGTCATAAAACTCCATCCTCCAATTTCAGTGTTTTGATTGAAATGTCAAAGCAACTGTTGGCTGACACGTGCTGTCAGAACTGTTGTTCAAGGACAGCTTTGAAGGAAGGAGGTGGTTTGTGATGCAGGGTACTCTCTGAATCCAGAGTTCATTTTGTTCCCTTCTTCACCATCCATGCAGACTGGGATAACACAGGGAGAGGGTGAGACTCAGGAACCACAGTGCATCTGAGACCTTCTGCTGCTCAGCTGCTCCACCTGCTCCACATCCCTGCTGAGCATGGGTGGTCTGCACAGGAGCCTTGCCTTAGCTGTCTGTCTGGCAGTCAAAATAGAAGTGTTTAGGGATTGGACAAACTGAGGCTGTGTTCACAGACCCACTCCTGGAATCCTTATGTTCTGTCCAAGTCCTACTGTAATCCCCTTCTGGAAAGCTCAGGGCCCAAGCATTTTGCCCAAACTACATCTTGAAGCTGTCATGTATATGACACAACCTAGAGATTTCATCGTCAAGACCACTCACTTTTCAGAATTCTGAGTAAAGTGATCATATTTTGTCCTTAACTATTTGGAGAGCTGATTTAAGAGAGGAATCCTTTGTGCCTCCCAAAGAATCTGAGCCAGCAGTGGATGAAATGTTGTGAGAATCATGAAAATGCATTATAAAATCACAGACGTGCTAGGACTCCAAATTGAAAATACTGTAAATCGCGATGTTCCAAATGTGCCACTAGATGGCAAGGAAACACCATAATAAATGAAGAACAGAGGCTTGCTCTAAGCAACGCAGGAGACATAAAAGTAGCACTGCTCCCTTATCAACAGGGAATCCCTAAGATCTTGGAGCTTGCTCTCTCTCTCTCTCTCTCCAGATCTCTGGGTTCACATTTCTACTGAGACTCTGCTCACAAGGACAACATCTGCCATTTGCTGAATATTTTGTTTGTTTCTGATCTTCAACAGACAAAGCCTGTGAACTTGAAACTTCTGTGAAGAGTCAAGAAGCTGAGTCTGAATCCTGGATCTGTACTGGGCAAGCACATGCTGGAAACAAATGCTGCAGTTTTGAAGATACAGCAGCCCCATGCTGTCAAGAGGAAGTGGCCTTGTGAATACAGAGGAGGAAGAAACAGCACACTGAAGACTCCATTCAGCAAAGTGGAAGACACTTTGGCATGTCCCATAGAAAAGGAGCAGGGAGTGGGCAGGGAAACCTGATGTGATGTCAGATCTGTGTCCCAGTTCTGCTCCCAGGGTGAACTGCTGGTCCACAGGTATCAGGGCAGGGCCTACGCTTCATGATGCTCAGGCTCTGCTTTGGGAAAGAGAAGGCGGTGATGCAACAATTAGGAGCCCTCTGCGTCCATTCTCGACTTGCCAGAAGTTAAAAAGATACACCGTACACTGATGCAATAAATCATTTGTTTATTTCTTTAATACTCATATTATATGAATATAATAGACACATAATGCATGTATATGTTTTCCAGGGCTCCTCATCTTTCTAAGCAGATCAGGATTTGACTAAAACAAGACTCAAAGGGAAAATGTGTTGATCCTCCTCTTGTTCTCTATTCCTTGGGACAGTTAGGATGGTACTTAGAAGAGCTGCACCCCACTCTGAGGTCCTGGTGTCTCACACACTTTCCTGGCCTTGCAGTCTTGGCCTGGTTCAGTGCCTGTGGGTGTTGAGAACTTTGTTTATCTATTCTGTAGCCCCAGACTCAGGACAGCAGCTGCCTTCTCCTAGCCTATACCTCCCTGCAGAGCAAGTCTGACTTCAGCCCTGGTTTGCAGCCCCTGTCCCCAAACTGTTCCCTTCATTTCACAGCTAGAAGGTCTGTTCTCCTTCACTTTCACAAACATTGACACACATTTCCACATTTGCCAACACCAGCACAGCCACCTGGGAAATTAGACATTTGATTTCATCTCATTATCAGGAGGCTTATTGCACCCGGGAAAGATAAAGGTTTCCTTCATATCTCTTCAGTCCATCCAACAAAAGACTTAGCAAAAATAAGCATTAAATTCAGGCAAATATTTTAAAATGTCAACACAATAACCATATCACATTTTCTTTGGTTTATTGATCACCGGCTCTGTCTCACTACACATGGCTGGGACAATAACACTCTTCTAGAACAAGGAAGGTGGAAGGATTATGAGCCACATGTGATTAGATGAAAAATAAGATTAAAGAGGTATGAAGACAGTGGACCGATGTCATAAATAATTTTGAGTCCCCTAAAAAACAATATGGTAATGAGATTTGCCCTGAACTTCTCCTAGGAATAGTTATAGCACTTGATGCTATAAGATACAGTAAAGCCCTATTGAGGACACCAGGTGTTAAGCTAAATATTAAAGATTCTATGGGGTGACAGATGCAAAAGAGAAAAAATTATCAAGAGATTGTATCTTTCCTGCTGTCATAAAAATGCTACATTTATTCTAAATTCTTCAAAATTCTGATGTCTGTTTATTGACTGATATTGTATCTCACACTTGTTTCTAAATTACAGTAAATTATTGAGAAAATATATTTGAGAGAAAGAAACTTAGAGAGCTTTTGACCTCATTAGCAACACAAGCAGTATCATGTGTCTGTGTGTGTTTGGGGAGAATGAGGCACAAAGGGCTGGAAAACATAGTGGCTTATATCTTACCAAGGCATTTTAGGACCTTGTGGTCAATGTCTACAGACACTTAAACCACTTCAAAGAGTTTTAAAAAATTATCTTCATTCTTGTTTTATATTTTAACTTATATTTTATGATATATCGCACTCTCATTTTTTTTCCCTATTCCAAGGGTCATTACCAGAGAATTGTGAGTAGTAAATAGGATAGAAGCATGTGCAGAACCATGAGGAGGGCAGGGCATCACTAATCACACTGCTGTTCCCGGTGACTCTGCCCTGTAGCTCCCAGGCAGAAACAGACTCTGCAACAAATCTGAAGTATCCTGGAATTGCCTGGCACTTGGGTCCCTTAACTGAGATGAGGCAGAGCTGCAGCTGTGCCCATCTCCACCCAGCCCCTGCTGATTTGCATGGTGGAGTTAACAGCTCTGTGCCCTAAGATTTATTACGCTGCTCGCCCCCTGTGCAGGAGTCAGTCCCAGTCAGGACACAGCATGGACATGAGGGCCCCGACTCAGCTCCTGGGCCTCCTGCTGCTCTACCTTCCAGGTAAAGAAGGACTGGGGGGATTTGCTCACATCAGTGTGGTTAGTACTTCCTAGTGCATGAGAGAAGTTTTGTGAAAGCCTGATTGAGTGTGTGGATATTTGTGTTTACGTTTCTTATGCCAGGTGTGCTATGTGACATCCAGATGACCCAGTCTGCATCCTTGCTGTATGGCTCTGTGGGAGACACAGTCACCATCGCTTGCAAAGCCAGTGAGGACATTTACAGCAGTTTAAATTGGTATCAGCAGAAACCTGGAAAAGCTCCAACGCTGTTGATCTATGCTGCAAGTTATTTGAAATCCGGGGTCCCACAGAGGTTCAGTGGCAGTGAATCTGGGACAGATTACACTCTCACCATCAGCAGCCTGGAGCCTGAAGATGTTGGAACTTATTACTGTCAACAGAGTTATGAAACCCCTCCCACAGTAATACAAGCCATAGCATAAACCTCCCAGGGAAGTAAAAGTGCGAAGCTGGGCTGCCCCAGCTGCTCCTTCTGATGTCTCTACCTGCTAATAATGTTTTCTGCATGCAGCCAGGCTTTGAAGATCACTGGAGGATTTGGTAGATGGGGCCAGGGGTTCTCTTCTGCACTGTCATTGCCTTTTCTTCTCCTTAGCAGCAGCAACCCTGAGTGGTAACCACTTTCTCAATATAAAGGAAAGAGTATGGTACCTGAGGTTTCTCTGCTGCATAATGCAAAATTATATATATATTGCTTCATTTGGAACTCAGTGAGCAAAAGAGTAGCTATTGAAGATACTCCGGCAGAAATTGTTTTAATATAATGAATTATATGCTTAACTACAGCTTTTCTTGTCCTGATTCAGTAAGAGAAGCTGATACTAGAAATGGCGGGTTCTGTGGTGCTTCCCAGATTGCAATAGCAGGAAGGAATGAGTCAGCTAACTGTATTCTTCTGGCTGTGGATAAAAACCAAGGTTAGAGGTAGGATTCTGTCACTTACCTGAAGCAAGTCTTCGTGTGAGTTTCCAACCTTCACCTCTGATCCCATATCTGGCTACTGATTCCTATAAGCACAAAACCTACTCAGTATTTGAAAACTCATACATTCACCTCTCTTTAGTTAGCTCTACTGCAAAGTGCAGAAGGAAGAGTGGGCATGAGAAATTTCTCTTCAGAAGTGATGTTGAGATAGGAGTTAATGGCTGACCATGTAAGTTGGATCCTATTGCCCTAACTCTCTGATTTTTTCTAGTTAGGGATCAGCCTCCAAATTTGCTTGAGTCTCTCCATTTATTATTGGTGGCTACCTGATCATATCCTGCAATATCATTAAGTCATGAACTAAACTGAAAATAAGAATGAATAACAAGATGTATATATATATATATATATACACACACACACTCAAACCTAGAGTTGCATATCAATATAGACTTGAGAAATTTTCCTTAACAAAACAAAACAGAAACAAACTCTCCAGAAAACAAATTAAAAATAAAAAATAATAAAGCAGTTGAGTGAGTCCTATATTTGGACTTTAAATGGTCCAAGTTTAGCAAAAATAGTTTTCCAATAAAAGTCCAATCTGGAGCACATCACTGAACAAGCTGCTCTCAATGATTATTCTCTACTATGTGCATTGTCCTTCGTTGTACACTATGTTTCTAACCAAAATACCCTTTGGAATTTACTCGGTAATGTTAGGACATTCCACATGATGCAGCAGTAGTCCAAGAAAATTACTTACACAAGAAAGAGAACTGAAGTGTGTATGTTCTGGATCTCATTGTACCATGATACATCTGTCATTATAGAAAAGAAAGAACCTAGTATTAGTTAAGAAAGATTGATGTTAAATTGCTATCTTATCAGATGTGGGGGAGATTCTCAAATACAGCATCTGGTTTGTTTTCTCTCATAATTAGCATATTTGTGTTTGGGAAAGAAAGGATATAAAACATTCACAAGGTAATTCATTTACACTCTACCCAGTTGTGTGATACTAATAAACAGGGAAAACCCAAAATGTTTTCCATGTGGATGAAGAGAATGAGAACAGGTTCCTTGGATTTGTGAAGGCAGGGGAGACCGAGTCTGGGATAGTGGATGTGGGAGTCCTCACTGAAATGATGTCTTTCACTGATGCTTCAGAGCCTAGTTCCTCTAATCTATGTAGCTATGGTCATCTCTGAACACATTGCTGTGTATAAAAGATTGTCTTTCATAATTTCTCCAGCACAGTTCACTGGCATCAAGCTAATAACAGACTTTTATTTTTCCATCAGAGATCTGCAGCTTTATTAATTTACCATTTATTGCTGTTCTCAGTATAGTAGCAGGCACCCCACAGAGATTCACCATGGAACTAAATCCTCTCTGAGACTTTTTTTTGTGTTTTGCCCATACCAGCTGCTTGCATTTAGGCAGTTGATAAGGTGTCTGATCAGCTTTGCACCTCTTCTGGTTATCTTATGGAAAATTTGTGGTTCTGAATGAGATAGTGCTGAAAAGATTTCCACTGCTACGATTTCCATTGTGACACTTGCACTTTGCCTCTCACCTAGTTGCACAGGCCAGTACAGGAACAAGTTCCTTGCCAATGACATTGATATTCCCACTGAATTGTGAGAAAGCTTTTAAAAATATACAAGACTGCCTAATGTAATAAGGCAGATACAGAAAGAGTAAGAGTACCTGAAAGAAAATATTGAACACTATCATAATTCAGAGACAAAATGGTTATGTCAACAGAAAATAAAAATTAAGATATAGAGAAACTATGAGCATTTACACTACAAATAGCAAATCAGAGGATTAAAAAACAATACATAAAAATGAAACTTGTTTGTATATACCAAGAACAGAGTGAAAAATTTTAGCATGTATATAAAAAGAGCACTTATATCACTTGCAATACAAACATAAAATTCAGAACAAAAAAAATGTTTCTAAATATTCTAGCTTGAAAATTCCAGGCTATTATGAAACAACAACATCATTAGCATTATTCAAACAGCAACCACAAAAACTTAAGGAAACGGACATCGTATTATTTCAAGGATTTAAGAACCTCAACATCATCCTTTTTTGAAATGAAAAATATCAGATGATTCTCCATGTGTAACAGGTGTCAGGCCTGAGGGAGCTGTAGGATAAGTGCTAGCAGAGCCAGGTGCGGGACTGCGGTGCTGGGATGAGGGCAGCCACACTGTCCAGTAGAAGAGTACAGAGTATGCAGAGACAGGCAACAGACCAAGGACACCTCATGTACACATGTGTTTAACAGATTCTCCTTCCCTTGCTAGGCAGAAATGAGGCTGACTGAGAGGGGATGTGGGCAAGGGACATCTGCTGACATTGTTCTTTTCTTGACCTTCAGGGACCAGAGAAAACAGTGTTGAGAAGAACCAGCTACCCCTGCAGTCCAGGACACTCACATTCTTTCCTTCTCCAGAGCTCTCCACTTCGATAAGCAGCAGTGGGTGCTGATCATTTTCCTTCCCTGGGTCCCTGGCAGGGAGCCCATGGGCAGGGAGGGCCTCAGCTTCATAGCTCAGAACAAAAGCTGCTTCCTCCACAGCCCAGGGCCAAAGCCTGGCAGCTCTCAGCAGTATAGTCTTGGACTCAGCACTGATGTAAGGCCCCTTATCTAAACCTATCCTTTTCTACTTCCTGAAAATCTGAGTTGATCTCAAATTAAAAGGCTGAAATTCTATTTTTGTCAAAGTCAGCATTGTCATTTGAGTAACTACTAGAAATCTGACTGCATCTCATTCTCAGAATCTGTATTTTTCCAACCCAGTAGAAAAATATTTCCTTCAAATCTCTTGTCACTCTATAGTATGTAAGCATAGCAACATATTAAATATGACATTTTATTAGTGTGTACTTGTTAGAGGTCCATGAGTTCTGAATAAAAATAATTTGCCTAATGAAAAAGTGTTCAGACATTTCAATCTTTGGAAATTCCATTGAGTCTACGCCAGCAACAAAATACATGATTTCCTTTCACTTAAAGGACCACCTGCTTACTATCTTGATGACAATTACCTATTATCTGAATGTTATTGACCTATTAACAAAAAATAAATATATGGGTACAAACAAATCAATCTGAAGGATAGATTATTAAACCATGATTGAAACTCTGTGTGTTCAATGGGTGTGCAGAGCATAACAATTGGGCTGGTGAGGGAATGCATATCAGAAGAAAATTTGAAATTGAGTTACTTTAAAATGATATTTTAAAAGCACTTCCTTGTCCTGCAGGTATTATCATATTTAATATATTCACTATAATATCACTGGATACATTTATTTAATTTAAATGGAGTGATTTTTCTGGGTTCTTTTAGAAAATAGAGGTTGGAATATATGTAAATAATGCATACTCTATATGCTAACACACAATTCTTTGAGCAGAACTGTCCCAAATTGGAATATACATGAATACTAAGACTACCTCCATTATATAATAAATTTACCTGAGAGCTGTAATACCATCATCATGTGTGCATAGATTATCGACTTGAATTTCTTCCTTTATAGGTGAAGACATAGGGAACCAGAGACACTCATTACTAAATAGGAAAAATTAAGAGATGCATTTTGTATTTAAAAGACCCTACAATTCCAAGCTAATCCAAGTGATTCTTATTGCATTTAAATTATTTGTAGAACTGAAATTTTTTTCTGTAGATAGTTGGAAAGATTTAACCTGGAGTGTTGTTAATCACTGCCATTAGCAAGGATGTCATTAACCAAGGGGAATGACAGCACTGGATAAACTTCAAGGACGGAATCTTACAATCATTTGGAAAAAAAAAGGTAGTCAATTTCAACTTATTTTGACTATATTTCAGGCCTTAACACTAAAAAGATTTCAGCATTGAAAGAAAAATTAGTTGAGTAACTGGTAGAACTGGATTTTTTCAATGGGCCTACATTGGAAATCTTAGCTTCTCAAGTACATTTCACACTACTGAACAAGATATTTTCAGTGGCTGCATGACAAGATACATATATGTCAGTCAAGAGCCATTCCCAGTCATATCTGTGAGATCCGTGAAAAAAATGCAATGACATCAGAGATGGAGGACCATGCACTGGTTCTGTCAGTGGAATTCACTGATTTTAATAGCATTGTTACTCTCTCGTGGGAGCAAGTCATGGTCCTCTGGCATTCAACATTTGAAAGATAACTTCTTTCTTTATAATCAAGGCAATGACACAATGTGTGGTCAGGATGTTCCTAATTAGCATTTGTTAACATTTGTTCCTTTGTAAGGACTGGACATGTTAAACTTGTTCTTGACCCTGTGATGGGAGAAACTCGAAGAGATAGCCAAAGGTCTGATGTTATCTGTAGGAGTCAGGTGCTTCCTGTTGCTGTGCCTTTAAAAGGAGCTGTTTCTGTGAAATAAATCAGACTTCTCCTGGTCTCCACTCAGGCATGAGTGTTCTTTCCTTTCTCAATCCTCAC